AGCAGCTCAAGAAAGATTAGCTAGCAGATTTATACAAAGAAAGGAATCTTCTAAAGAACTGAAAAAGTCAGTGCTGGTGACTTTGCTGTTTGAAGCTGACCGGAGGCAGAATGGGTACCAGACCAGTACAGAGTAGGGTCCCAGTTCTCTTGCAGAGCAGGTGGGTTCTCCAGAGAACAGAATGGATGGGTAGGGCCAGGGGTGCTGGAACCATTTTTATAGTGAGGGTGCTGAGAGCCATTGAACCGCACTGTAAACCCTGTATATAATGGAAACCATTTCAAGCCAGGGGGTACAACAGCACCCTCAGTTCCCCTAATTCCAGCACCTACGGGTAAGGCCAGGAGCTTTGACAACAACTTTCAGAGGGAAACGAGGAAGAGGGTGTCAAGAGTATAGGCAGTGAACAAAGGAGCAATCTGGCCCCATCCAGACTGGGTTCACTGATTCAGCAGCAGAGGAGGAAAAACTAGTTTGAGAGAGAAAAGCTGCAATGGAGGCCAAGCACCTTGCTGTTCGGAAGCCAGAGAGACCAGAGATGAGGTCAGAGGTGCAGCTGGCCCTGCAACTGTAACATTAACAGGTTCAAGATTTTTACTGGTCCATTAATGGGCTCAATCTAGATCATTTCAGAATCCACAGAGATTGGTATAGTGCATCACTATAAAGCAGCAGAGTTGGAAAGTGTCTTAGTTTCGAGCTGAGACAAAGTAGGTGATGTAATGCTGTTTATTTCACTAACAATTACAATACAGCAACTTCCATGCCAGTATATGTATCTTCAAATAATCAACTGAAGGGAGACACCGAAGTGAGCCCCCAAGCTTTCGCTATTGTTGCAGTCCCTCAGCTACAGTAACTTGTGTATTCTTTTGACCATCAAGCCTCTACGGACATCTCCCATTTATTACTAATTTGAAAGGGTCAAGCTTAAGAAAAGATCTAGGATTCTCCGATTCTCTCAAATAACTCCCTGGCTCCCTCTGTTAAACAAAGCTGAAGAACCAGTACTATAGTTTGTGTCAAAATTTAAACCCCAAAAGACAGAGAGAGCAGCAAGCTTTTTCCTTCAGAAGCGAAATTTGTTAGCACTGGGCAAAAAACTGTTTGAATTTTTTGTCCAATTTTTTTTTTGTGTGTGTGGGGGGGGGGGGCGCTAATAAACTTTTTGTAAAGATAGTAGCTCATAATGGAACACCGACTGACTTACACCAGAGCTAAATTTCATCCACTATGCCGTTATTGTTAACTTCTGAGCTCAGAACTAACTGCAAACTTCTCAGAAAGTAACCTTTCTGTAGTTCCAGAAGGTACTCATTTAAAGTCCTTCAGACATGCCCTCATGCTGTTTACATTAGACTGTTTCTTTATGATGAAATGGGATAGGTTTTTTCCAACCTCAAATTAGTAAATTACCTGGAACCCCAAAAAGCTTTAATTAAAACAGCACAAAGAGAGTTGGAATGGTATTCATTTATAACTATATAAAAGCCAATCTCATCCAATTTTGGTAGCCTAATATAACAGCTGTGTAGACCACAGCACATGGATCATCTCTCCTGATTAAACAAAAACCCAACAAACTTTCTTTAAAAAAAAAAATGCTTCTGACACTTGATGAAGTATATATATTACCCTGTGTGGGTTTTCAGAGTTCCCCTTCCTGAGTCTAAGTAACTTTCAGTCTGCTTGGGGTTTTACAGGACTTTATTTTCCCTTTGATTAAGTAATAATCAATAAAAAATATAAAAAGTAAAATCTCTCTTTTTTGGTGATGTGTGCAAAATGTATTGCACCCAGTTGTTCAAAATCTCTCTCATATGCAAGGGCAAAAGGCTTTATTGTTATAGTTTTTCTTCAGTAATAGAAAAGCTTTTTTCCTTAGTCAGTCTTCCACTGGCAAATTAATATTCAACATAAACAATGAACACACTGCATGGCCTTTGAACCCAGTGGTTGCTAGGAAGCCTGAAGAAACTCTGGATTACAGCAGATTAGATAGCCAGCATCAAGAGATTATTCACCAGTAAAAATGTGAGATTTTTCTAGATTTATATAGTTTTAAATTCATTCTTCATTGATCTGCCAATCTCTTTGTGGGCTTCCCCACATAAATTTCATCCATATTTGCAATAACTGCCACAGCTTATGGGCAGTTTGCCCTGAAGGTATTGAAAATGCTAATACTAAACATCAATGCTTCTTACTATAAATCAAATTTCAAAACTGGTTTTTATTCATTACTAATGAAAAGACTGTTTAAAAATGGTGCACCGTCACTTCTCTCGTTAGGAGCCTGCACTTCTGCTTTAATAATAAGCTAGATTCCATTTAGAGACTGCATTTTTCAAAAGCTTTACTTGTAACACAGTTCTTCATAGCACCACCTAGTATTTTTGTACTGTTTAAAGGAATAATGTGTACATACCCGATTTTCCACAAACAATTCTGAGTTATATTTACAGTGTTTATTTGTTTAAGGTTTTTAGTGCCATAGTAAAGAGTCATTTGCTTGTTTGCCTATCCCTATCTTATATCCCTGAACTAAAGCAATCAAGCCAGAAAACAAGCTTTCCCTCTCCTCTCCCCACTCCCAAACAATGCAGCATTTAATTTAAAATGACCACAACAATACTAATGGTGATTAGGTTAAATGACTGGACAAACAGAATGCAGAAGTCTGAAAAGCCTATGTGTTTCAGGCACTTTCTCCTGTACAACATTTTGGGTGACAAAGAATGTATTTGTAGTCAGAATCACAACTTTTATGCAAGAAGACTTCCTATGGATTTCCTGTGAGGAAGAGATTACTTTAAGTAACTAGACGTGCTTAGATATAGTACGCATTCCTCCCAAATCTACTATTTGGAAGGGCATTGGACAGGGCTCTTTTTTTAAAAAAAACAAAAACAAAAAAGCAAGCCACGCACCAAAAGGCCACAATTACATTTACAGCTAAAATTCTACCTACTAATATAAAAAAAAATCTTTCTGGTTTTCATTTCCATTTTGTTATGCCTTTAATAACTTTACTAGATTACTCATACTAGACGTGACACCTGCTTTTCTTCCTCCATTGCTGTGCTATAACATTAGAAATCAGTCATCTGTATATTCATAGCTGTAACATCCCTTTTTGGGATCATTTTATAACACATTTATAATGAATGTTACCCTTCCACCCCCTATCTCACACACAGAGACATCTACTCTAAAATACAGATAGCTATACATTTGATCCTAAGGTGGACTCAAATTTGATCATACAGACCCTGTCAGGATAATGCTTTTGTGAATTCAGACTGTTTCCAAGAAGAATGTATCTGAGTTGCACTCCTGCGTTAAAAAAAATATTAAATAAATAAATAAACCCACCAACTGTCAGAAACACTACTGAAAGATTCTTCTGCTTCAGACCTGGTTTCCATACTAAAAGAAAAGCTTAAAAGTATTGTCTGAGACAAAACTGACAAGGTGCATCTCAAACTAAGAATATCAGAAAAGTCATAAAGAATAACTGTTTAGACTTTAGAAGTACATGCTGGAGTCAGATCTGGCTTACAGATTCTTTTCTAAATCTGCTGCACCATCACCACTCAGAAAATATACCAACCATTGTAGCTTTCTTCAGCTGCTTAAGCATAAGTTATACTTGTCATTTTCCTTAAATATGATCCGTCCCATGAAAGAGAAAATCAAAAAAACTATTGCCAAAACAGCACAATATTCTTATCTAGGCAGATTTGCAATATAATGCACATTATTTCCTTTAGGTTTTGGGGTTAATGACAGAAAAGTCATGAGACATTTTTAAAACATGAGAAACCACTCCTGGCTAAAAGAGACATGTTTATTAGGAAGGACGATAATAAAGTAAGAATGTAACTGAAAACCACAAGCTTTGGTTCAACCTTTCGAACATAGATGGGACTGGAACTGTTTTCAACTATGCATGGTAAAATACCTTCATTTTCCCTCTCCCTCCTCTTTTTTCCCTTTTAAAGGAATCTGCCTACTCAATCTAAATTAAGCCTTAGAGGAAAAATGTGCCTTCATGATAAATTGGTATTTGACATCATAGTAATGAAATGTTCTGTCTGATCACAATAATCAAGCAGTAGAACAACAAAGAAGATTTCCAGGATTCTCCCCCCCTCCACAGCATTCTCTCAAGTATTCTTCCTGTGTTTCTCGAATTTCTGAATTACATGGCTGATAAGATTCATTTAGAAATACTGAGGCTTTTTTGATTACATAAAACCCTAATTTGAAGAGTAAACCCTTCCTTATTTTTGCCTCTCTCTGTTTTTACATTTTTGTGCTTCTTTTCTGCCATTCACAAACATTTTGATGCAGGGTCCATTATTTCCATACAACCTCAGTTTAAAACAATGAACCGATGAATAAACACATGTATACATACGCATGCACACACACACTCTTTATACATAAATGCAGCATTTATATTCATTTTCACTACGGATACACTTCTCTGTATGGAAATATGCTTCTGAAACCTGACGAGCTTGGAATAGGGCAAGAGCATTCAGAATTACAGGTGGCACTTCTTTCGAAAATGCAATATAGATATGCCCCCATTGAGATAACTGAACTTAACCGGTTGGAAAGGGAATGTTTGGTTTGATAGTAAATATTCAGCACATACTTATTCATAAGCACAAGAGCAAAGGGGCCGCTCTGATCACAACACCCAGGTCATTTTTATCTATCCTGAGCTGAAAATATAGATATGAAAAATACTTCCTTTCATTTATTTTATTTTTTATTAATATATTTTAAACACCATATTGAGAGGGCCCTGCTGTGAATCTTGCTGAGGTACAAAATGGTGGATGTCTGCTTTTTTTTTTTTTTTTGCATTATTCACAACTTATGCTATCAGTCACCGTATACCCTTTTACCTATCAACACAGTATTGGCGAGCCAAATAAACACCCAACACTGAGCCTTGCAATAAGCACAAAAATGCTGTTACAAACCTGATGTCATGTAGCCCCGTGATGCCTGGGCAATAAAAGCTGGTGGGAAGTGTTTGTGCAGTCGGTAGTCCTTTTCACTGCGGGACCTCATGCGGTCTGAGGCCCGGTCAGAGAAATCTGAACTAGGCCAGGCTCGCCGTAAGGTTGTACTCCGTGTCTTCTTCATTTTGAGGCTACCTGCAGTCTAATCCTCCAGCAGCAGTAGCATGAGTCAGGCCTCACGGCGTGCTTGCAATGCTTCGTTTCATTAGTCTACCACAGCCACAGCTTGGGTAGAATCTGCAAACATTTTGCCACTACCTCTTCTATGAAGCAAACTGCAGGTCTGTTCCTTTTTTTCCCCCCCTCGAATGATCCAATTTTTACACACGTCCCACAATGCATTACACTTCATTTGCAATCAGTCCAGCTTATAGCTTCCAGATTCATGTGGAGGAAAGGCACATTATGTGGCTTCTCAGGCAAGGGGGGTCAGGGGGTAAGGGACTGCAGCGTGAAAAGCTCTAGGATCCCAAACAATAGCTCGATTCAGCATAGGAGTGCTTAGTCAAGTGTGAGCCAGAACACAAAAAGACCCAAACAAATTAGGAAAGCCCCACTGCCTTTGGTTTCGACCCAAAACACAGAGCGCCCAGGAACTGTAGAAAGCAGGGTCAAATATCCAATGGCACAGGATTAGAATGATGCTTTGATAACAGTGAAAGTCATTTTTCTTCACCTATCAGAATCCAAGCCAAGAATCCATGGAAGCAGCCTAAACCATTGCTGCAGTAATCATTCGATCAATCTTCCTGTTAGCAGCACCCACAGCATATCCATACACACTGGATGTGCATGTGTCTCATTCACACATCTTTCACATATGACCTACAAGAAGTAGCAACTGTATTCTTGCAGAATCCAGGAAACACAGATGGTCATAATGGCTGATGCTTCTCTGTCTTTTGCCCTCCTTCAGCAGTTTGCCAGTTGTTTCTTTTGTGCGTGTCGTTATTTGTTTTAAGGGATATATGTATATTCCTCTCTAATGCACTAGCTCCTGCAGGCTTGGGAGGCGAGGCTGCAAATTAATCCAAACATTTGCTTTCAGTGAGTCAACCGTGTATAGTCTGCTCAAGTTGCCACAGCTCCTCCGCTGAACAGTTCTCCGCCTTGAAAACAGTGAATAGCTATTGAAGGGCAGGAAACAAGGCAGCCACCCAGTCTCATGCTAATCAAGAAGCTGTCTTAAGTTAGACGCACTGATCCTGTCAGGCTTCACATTTTAATGTGAAACACCCTTGGGCTCACTGAAACCTTGGCTTGTGCCCCAGCCTATAATCAGCTTGCATATATTTACATACAAAACTGCGTGTTTTTAGGATAGTCCAGCCCCCCTGAGATGGAAGGAAAGAAAATCTTTTGTTTGGAAAGGATATTTGCTACCGAACTTCTTCCTCTGCACAAACCCAATAGAGTGCAAGTCAAAATGAGGATAGCAGGAATTGGTTCATCTGACAGCTGCAAACACATTCCATCGCAGAGGAATCAAGCTGGCTTGAAACTATAATGGAAACAGCTACTTTGCTCTCTCTTCTCTAGTTGTTAACCACTACCAACTGGCTAAACGGCAGGAAGGCCTGCAACCTCTTTAAAAATCAAGGCTCAATACAGCTGTTTCTAGTCCCACAGCCAATCATTATAGGACAACAGTGCATGCAGTGGGGGTGGGGAGCAGAAAGACAAAAACAGATACATTTCAGCTTGTAGCCAGTCTGGAAACACCCAAGCTGCTGCTACATGAGAGTTAAAACCCATTTGAGTGAGAGTTGTGATCTTCTGAACTGTGCACTTTTTAGCTATTATTCTCAGTATTAGGAGTTTAACTAAAAACTTCACTCTGATTAGAAAAGATTTTAAGGGTATTATAAAATTTAATACTACTTAGCATTTCCATAGTGCTTCACTTCTTCAAAGTCCTCACACGCAATTATGACCCTTCCAAGATTTCAAGGCTAGCAGGGGCTACTGTGATCATCTAGTTTCAGAATAGCAGCCGTGTTAGTCTATATTCGCAAAAAGAAAAGGAGTACTAGTGGCACCTTAGAGACTAACCAATTTATTTGAGCATAAGCTTTCGTGAGCTACAGCTCACTTCATCGGATGCATTGATCTAGTCTAGGATCATCTAGTTTGACCTCCTGTATAACACAGACCATAGAACTTCCCCAAAATAATTCCCAGGGCATGTCTTTTAAGACAAAATATCTAATCTTGATTTAAAGCCCGGCAGTGATGCAGAATCCACCACAACCCTTGGTAAGTTGTTCCGGTGGTTAATTATCTTCATTGTTAAAAAAAAATATGTCTCATTTCTAGTCTGAATTTGTCTAGTTTCAACTTTCAGCCATTGGATCATGTTATAACTCTCTGCTAGACTGAAGGCCCATTTTCAAATATATGTTTATCCACTGTTGGATTGCTCCACATCTATTTTAAAATGAACTTTTATAAACCACCAATTCAAGTAAACTGAATTGAAGTGGTTTCTTTTTTGCATGGAACCAAAAGGGTTAACCCCTCACCACCACTCAAACACACCCCAAGACACCCCGGCCACACCTACAGACTAATCAATCTTTCAAGGTTTTTTTTCTTTGCTGTGCTTGCACATCATGAGGAAGCTGCTTCCCAGTCCTGATGAAGAACTACATTGTGACACAGATGGATTCCAAATGATCCACCTCTCCCCTCCGCACCCCCAGTGCTGTTTCCTGTAATTTAGCAAAATGATATACATTAACAATTAAAACCACATATCAAAGAAGCAGGAAATGCTCCAATAGTTTCCTATTCTATAGATTACATAATATTCATCCTAACACAGAAATTCCAGTTATCTGAATTTCAGATGCCTTGTTGAAGAAATATTTAGGCTCAGGTTTTCACTGAAGTATGAATTTATAGACTTCTAAAAATATATTAAACACAGAATTTCTCCTTAGTGAGGCTTTTACAGCGGACATATTTGTAATGGGAAATGTGAAGAATCCATGCTGTCATATGAAGTTTACTATAATGCAGCGTTTTAAAACATCTCTTAAATTAAAACTCAACTAAATTTATTAGTTCAGCTTTAAATTACTTCTTTAATGTAAGTTACTCTTTCCTTCCAAAGCTTATTTCACATTTTCAAAGGGTAGATAATTATAGTTCTGTAACTTTGACAGCAACTCCAACTGTTTTAATAGTGTTAAAACTCTGAGGGCTGGAAGAATAAGCTGAGCATTGGGAATCAGTAAATATGCAGTTAAAATCTCACAGCTGACTTGTGTTGCTTTTGGCAAGTCACTGCCTCAGTTTCCCTACCTGGGCAATGCAAATAAGAATTATCTGTGGTTTATATGCTCCTCTCCTCTTGACACCAGTAGGAATTACATGACTAAAACTCCACATATAGCTTTGAAAATGAAATATTGAGGGATTCTTTCCCATATACCCTTATTGCCCAACAAATATGTGTAAAAATTTAAAGGACGACATTCAGGTCATTTTTCTGTACTGCTACAAAGATGCATGTTTCCTTTGACGCTTCTCCTTCATGAATTGAAGGCAACATGAAAATGAAGATCAGCAAATATATGACCGAGAGCTCCATTTAAAAAAAAAGTTAGATAAGATTTTAAGTACACAATTACTAAACAGTCTGGGTTTCATCCCCCATAACTATATGATGCTTTTGCTGGCCAGTGTTTTCAACCTAAAAGCAGAAGCCATAATAATTAGAGCTCTCCTCAGAACTCCTAAGTTTTGTGTAGACTAGGAAAAGTGACTGAGTTAAGGTCGGGATTAGTTAACACAAACTAGCTAAGTGTGACCTAAAAACTCAGCCACTTTTCCTAGTGCAGATACAGGTCAAGTCATAGCCAAAATCCTAGGCTGTAACTCTACCAGCTAAACATTGAGCTAAAGATATTCCCTGAATCTACATTAGGAAAAATAGGTTTAAGTTTAGGTCAAAGTTAGCCAGTTCACATTACCTATCCCTGACATAAACTCAACCTTTTTCCTAGCCTAGACAAAGCCTTAGATGGCAGTCTGTTTTATTATGGCTTTATAATAATGTGCTTCTGCACAGGAGAATGGAGCTGCTATTCTACTGCTCCTAAAAATAAAAGGACGGCTGGACAGATGAAAAATAAAATTAAAAAAAAAAAGACATTAGGAAAAAGAGGAAGTCATGAGTCAAGGGTCTAAATGGAATAAGTGATAACAGGGTGGGGGGGGAAACAAGGTCAAGAAATAACACTAAGGGCTTGTCTTCACTACCAAGATACGTCGACGTAGCTGGAGTCAACATAGCTTAGGTTGACTTATCTTCATTGCACTGCATCGACAGGAGACACTCTCTGGTTGACTTTCCGTACTCTTCTTGGAGAGGTGGAGTACTGTGGTCGACTGCAGAGTGCTCTGCCGTCGATTTAGCAGGTCTTCACTAGACCCGATAAATTGATCACTGCTGCATCGATTGCAGTGAAGACAGTGAAGACAAGCCCAAAGTGAAGAGGGGAAATAACAGACTGACAAACAAGTAGCGCCACACAAGCAGTGATCCTGACATTGGCTTCCCACATAATTATTCCCTACTGAAAATTACTGAGTTGAATTTTAGAGTCTACCCCGCAACAGATCAATCTTTACAAGAGTGGGGATTTAAGGAACAGCTCTATTAAACACAAAGATGCGTGTGCTCATGCCACTGATATGCAGAATATTTAACTCTAATTCTTTACTAATAGCCTGAGAAACACATGGACAACAATTAATTTCATTTTACTTTACCTTTTTTTTTTTTTTTTTACTTTGAACAGTGCACATATCTTACATGGTAACCTGAACATTTAATTTCCTGATAAGTTCTAGGTACAGCAGATGCAGGATGTTTTCATGGTAATATGTAATGTATATGGTTAATATAAGATCACATCTTTTCTTCTGAATGAGTACGTGTGTTTTTCATGGTTAGTGCTTTGGGACAGAGTATATTAGGGTAAAAATGCAGCCCATGTCATAATTTAGTGCAAATTAATACATTTGTCCCAGAAAAAAGTCAAAAGTCAGATTTCAGTTAAAATAAATAAATAAACCATCACAACACCAAACTTCTCTCCCCCCCCCATGTTTTAGATGTCGGTCTGAAGCATGTTTTAGAGGCCATCTCTCACTTGCAGCACCCTTATTAGAGTGGCCATCTATGCCTCTCTCCTCCTTGTATTCAATATCTAAGTCTCTTTCGAGGCCCAGACTGGAAAGCGTTTTCTGACATATCTGAAAGATTTCCTCCTTTTGAAGGGAGAAATCTAGAGCAAGTTTCCTCCTGCTATTGTATCTATTTGAAGCCAAAGGGTGTTAACTAGAGTGAATCAAATGTGTAACTTGAATATCAAGTTTAAGTTTTGGCTGTTTTGTTTGGGGGAAGGAGGGGAAAAGAGCTTCAACCAAACTTGTCATGATCCAATTCAGCTAAGAATGAGGGAGCGGGGGAATGCCCCCTGCATATAGGCATTAATAAGGGATTTTGTTATTTGCTCTAGGAGGTATAGAGGAGAAAGGGTCTGGCTCATGACTATAGGCCCTTTCATTACTTTGTATTTTTTTTTTTAAAAGAAGAAGAGAATGCCTTGACCAGGTTCAAGTGAAGTTGTTGTTCTTGATGGTTATTGTTACTGGTGGAGGCCCTTAAAATGACTCAACTGGTCGGCTACCCCACACACATCATTAAAGAGAGAGGCAGAATTGGGGGTGCACTGGCCACAAAGGTCCTGAAGCGTTTTGAGATGAATCAGAAGAAACCTACAGCTTTAACATCCATTTCCCCCACTTAATTTGTGTAATTACCAGAAGCAGACTGCCTAGAAATGACCACTTCAAAGATGCTGGCTTGGCATTATACATTTAAAGAGAATGACTTAGAATACCCTTGATATATCCTAAAGCAATTTTTCTATTATTAAGTGTAACCCTTCTGCCAGGCCAAGTTGATAGCAGCAAGGGACGGGTTCAGTACACAGGGGCTCCCTCTCATCAAAGCAAATGCAAAACTGGCTCGAGCCCCCACCCAGTGACCTGGGAAAATCTTACACACCCCCTGGGCGCCTCAAAGAGGCAATACTTCCCCTCTCGCAAGCACAGAGTCTCGTGTAGTAGAGAATCTTTAATAACATGAGGTAAACAACATCAGCATTAAATTGGGGAAACACCACAACTAGTGTTCATTAACCAAACCATGAGCAAAAAAAATTGCTCCCAGAAAATTGGGCCACATCCTTTCCCTCGGGTTCTTGAATCCCAGAACCCAAACGTCTCTTGAGTCCAACAATCCACAAATCACCCAAAGTCCAAAAAAGTCTAGCCCCGGAGTTCAAAAGTTCATCTGCAGAGTGTTACTCCCCAGTCTGGCTAAAATGTGCCTGTGT